CCACGACTAGACTGAAGAACAAAATGACAGCAACTTGTCTGTTCCCCTTCCCCCAATTCCCCAGCACTCTTCCCATCCCCCCAATTCCCCAGTAGAAAAAATATTAAAAAAAAAAAAAAGAATTGACAAGTGGCGAGCGTGTGAGTGGGTGAATACATGGTTGAAGGAATCAGGCCCTGTTCAATTTAAGTGATCATTTACTTGGGCGTTTGAACACAACACGCTCTTCCACTTCTAAGGGTCTTGCTTTTTTGCAGGTCCCCCAGGCCCTCCAGAGGCTGTGACCATAGATGAAATTACAGACACCACCGCTCAGCTCTCCTGGAGACCCGGGCCTGACAACCACAGCCCCATCACCATGTATGTCATTCAAGCCAGGACTCCGTTCTCCGTGGGCTGGCAAGCAGTCAACACAGGTACCATCTTGGCTGTCCAGTGCTGGTGTCTCCCAGGCCTTTTGAAGCTCAGCATAGTGGACAAAGCTCTGTGGCAGAAGCCAGGGACCTCCGGGTCCTTTCAGACACAGCTACCGATGAGCCATAAGAGCAGTGTTTCCTAGACCTCAGCCAACTGTACTATCATGCATTTAATATTTTTCTTTATACCAGCTCACATTTGCTTGTTCGTTAACATATCCTAAACAATAATGTCTATAAAATGGAAGGTTATATTTCTCTTAATACACAATTCAAAGTACATTAGTTATTGAAAAAAAAATGCATCAATCTGCGTGTGCCCTTAAACCGTCTGTGTACCACGAATGGCACACTTGGGGAAGCAATGGCTCATGCGAGTCCACGGCCACGGTCCTCAGTAACTAAGGACCACACAGAACCTGGTCACTCGCTGCCCATTTTTCAGATGGATAAATTGGGACAAGAAGAGGCATGGGATTTTGTTATATTAAAAAATATGTGATTTGGCCGTTCCATCCCTGCCCTGTCAGTATCTCCAAATTGACTCATTTTGGTTTTTATTCATGTTGCATTTGAGGAAAACATGGACAAATGCATAGTTATTGCAAGCAAGACCCACACACTTGTAGTCCCCAGAGGTTGGCTGCGAGGCCTCCGTGTTCTGAAGTAGATCTGAATGGAGAGATGGGCCCGGGTTTATGCAGTTCACATGAATTGTATCGGTTTTCACAGCCTCATTTGGGTTTTTTTGTGGGTTTTTTTTTTCGTTTTAACTTATTCTACCTGAGGAATGGGCTTCTGTGTTTCCAGCCGAATCACTGACTTCCGTCTGAGTCACACAAGTGACTGCTACTCAGCAGATCTCTATCCGTCTTCATGTTCTCTCCTGTTAAACGGGCATGATAAGAGTTGTTTACAACCCAAAAGAAATGATTGCAACATATTTTTTAAAATAGGAAGTGCTGCATAATAAATGTAATGAAGGAGGCAGCGAAAATAAAGATGATTTTGACAATGATGATGATTTAAAAACAACAACTAGGATTTGTTGAGCCCTTGCTGTGTGCCATGTGCCCTGCAAGGTGCTTCTCTTGGGTTTTCTCAAAGCACTGAATAAGTATTGTTATTCGCCTTATTTTATGGTGAGACAACCAAGGCACGCAGAGGTGAAGCAACCCACCCAAGGTCACTTGGCTACTCAGTGCAGATTCCGGATTAGAATCCAGGGGTTCTGTCTGACTGAGAGCCCACACCTCACCTTAGGAGGGTAAGACTGTGTACGCGGCCCCACAGGGCTGGCAGTCACTGAAGCCTGGTACCAGCATGATGGCCTCAGCTTTGTCCCAGGAGATCTCCCTTTGTACAATATATTCTGGGCCCAATGGGAAATCTTTATGATAATCAGTTTAAAACTCAAAAAGTTGTTCAGTTGAGCATGAAAGCAGTGGTCAGAGCTTCATGGCTATGACATCAAGCAGTGGGCCATGTCCCCTTGTGACCAAGCCCTTCTCCAAGCCCCGCTGGGTGAACGCTGGCCAGTTCCACCTCTCTGCGTCCATCCTTTGGGTTCTCCTGAGCCATCCTTTTTGTGTACAGATTCTTTAGATGTGCTCATAGAGTTCACGGACAGCAGTGCTATGGATGTATAACATTCTGACTCCATGGTTATCCTAAGTCGTAGAGCTGAACCAAGCAGTCACACAAACCAGGAATAGATCCATTGTAACTTGGGGGAGTCACTTCACCTTTGTGAGGCACATTTTCCTCATCTATAAAAATGAAGAGAATAATTTTTCCCACTCCTAGGTTCGCTGTAAGCATTACACAGTGTTTCCGTCACTATACAGCCAGTGCTGGACGCCATGTCCCGTGATAGCAATGGTTACTGTCAGGTAGCGCAGGGCCTGAGTGTGTGTCTTCTGTGATGCCCTCTGCGGGTGTTGGACTTACTGGTCTGGGATCATCTTCTCTGACGGCCGCTCTCAGAAGCCCTGCAGCACCCTGAGCGCCGTCCTGGTGATGGGGGTGGATGGACGGAAGTTCCCTCCCGTCTCCCCAACATGGAGTCCTTTCTATGTCTTTCAGTCCCCGAGCTCATTGATGGGAGGACGTTCACTGCGACCGTGGTGGGTCTGAACCCCTGGGTCGAATATGAATTCCGCACTGTCGCAGCCAACGTGATCGGGATCGGGGAGCCCAGCCGGCCCTCGGAGAAGCGGAGGACGGAAGAGGCCCGTGAGTAGCACCCAGATGCAGGTGGTCAGTTCCAGCGGCTACGGTGCCTGAGGGGAAGGCTTTGAATTCGTCCTACTCCTCAGCCCTCCTGAGCCCCCCTTAGCTCACCTTCCTTCCCCTGCTGAGTGTGATGGTCAGAAACCAGGCCAGGGGACACTCAGCTTAACAGGCAGTGAGCGTCAATCAAGGGTTCAGTTTCCACTCTTCATTGGGGTTCCCTTGTGCAGGGAGAGACATGTGCTTGGGTCTCTCAAATGTCAACTCTGTCTTTATCGGTTCCTTTGTCACCAAGGCTCTCCCACCAGGATGTGTTTTTTAAATACACACCCAACATTTCAAATGAAATCAGAGAAACCACTGGCGGCGAAAGTAAGTTTTTCAGGGGCGTTCAGGCGGATTTTCTTAGGGTACAAACCATGCCCAGGAGCCAGGACTCAGAGCCCCTGCTAATCCCTGGGAGCCCAGGCAGCCATTCCCCCTGACCACCTGTGTTCGCAGCTTAGTGAGCACGGGGAGGGAATGATACACGCATGTGAGTCAGCTGCACTCAGGCGGGGCTAGGTGGGGGTCTGCGAGGGCGGCCAGCTGAGCCAAGGCCCTGGGGTTGTTACAGGAATAGCAAGGTCCCTAAGCAAATGGGCACAACCACCCTACTCTTAGACTAGAAGAACATCTCGATCTAGTTCCTCGGCTTTAACCAAGGGCATGTAGCCAGTCACCAGCCACCTGCCCCAGCCAGACATTGTGACATGTGTCTGGGCTCTTTCTTTCTAGTCTCTTATTTACTTGATAATAGCACAGCTAATCCCTGTGCCTTCCCTACTCTACAACTATAATTTAATCCATGTAGTCAATTCCTCTCAGTCCTGAGGAGGAAGCCAGCATAATTTCCCCTCTTTTATAGAGAAAACTGGTTACGCGCAGTGAGCCAGGGGCCAACCTGTGTCCACCACTTCCTTCAACACCCAGCTCAGAACCCACCTTCCTCCCAGAAGCCATCAGCCCACCCCCACTCCAAGCAGCCTGCTGGTCCTGAGTCACTGCGCTCGGCGCACGCTGCATGCTCTGTGTGCCGTGCTGTGTTGTTGTCACCACCAGTCATGTCCCGTGTGGGCTTTCTCACTCCTGCTGGACTGTAAGCTCTGCACGGGCAGTGTGCCCTGTCCCTCCATTTGCACTGTCCCCCCTTGTGAATCGCCTCATGGTTAATAAACACCCACGCAAGCATTAGAACCAGAACCTCCGTCCTTTCCTCGGCCCACTGACCCCCAGCCTCTAGGGATGGAGCTGAACATGTGCTCAGCCATGTCAGATGACACGTGTACCTGTGGGAGGGGGAGCAGGGAGCCAGTAGCAGTTTCCTTGGCACATTGCTTGCTTTTGGCCCCATGAGCACATTTTTATGATCTCAGAAGACAAAAATAATAAGCATTGGATTATTTGTTGGAAGTGAGTCTCCTCAGCCTTTGCCACCTGACTTGACTTGGCTTTTGTCTCCTGCACAGTCCCTGAGGTCACCCCAGCTAACGTCAGTGGCGGTGGAGGCAGCAAATCTGAACTGGTTATAACCTGGGAGGTAAGTGAGTCACAGAGCAAAAGGAACATCCATCAGTCCAGGCGACGTTATTATTTTCCTCCGTGTAAACATACCTGGGAAGGTGCCTACCAGCTGACATCCATGTGCTGCAAACACCTCCTCTCATACGCTAATGTCTGGCAGGAAAAGATGGCGCTGGCCCATCAATTCTTGAGTTACGTCTTAACCCGATTCATCACAGGAAGAACAATCATGAAAGGGAAGACAACACAGGAAAAAAAAATACGTGTGTATATATCAAAGGAGCCTGGCTCACCAAAAACCAGGTTTCCCTTTCTCCCTGAGTTGCCACGTGGCCAGTTGACTCAAAGTGTCTGCCAGCCACAGGCTGTGTCCCAGCAGCAACACTTCCTGGCAACTAGCTTTGCAGCTGGAGCCCTCTTTGATGAGGTGTTTTTGAAACAACCTGGAAGATGGTTAGTCACTAGTTCATTAAAAATTGATTTTGAGAGAGGAGGCGGGAGTGTTAGAAAGGGTTCTTCATGTGTTTTGAAAGATTCTAGACCACAGCCCAGAAGTTAAAATCCCCCCTTCAGCCACAGCCCCCGCGGTGACAGAAGTCACACGGCATCTGCGACCCACCCTCCAGTTCTGAGAGGTCAGCCCTTCCAAGGCAAGGTGGCCTTTACCTCTTCACTGAGCCCTCCGGTCTGCTTGGCACTGGGGGACACTCGCGTTAGACGGTGCATGTGGTAACTGCTGGCTTCTAGACCAACTGTCCTTCACAGTCACCTCCGACTGTCTCAGGGCTGGGTCTGAAGCCAGGCTCCATGAGTTTGTTTTGTCCCCCTGCTCCAGTACCTCATGAATATCTAAGGTAGCCTGGCAGCAAGCCAGAGCTAAGAGCCTTGACAAAGCCCGAAATAGAATCGGTGGGGAAGGGTATAGACGGCCGTGTTCTGGGCGGGGGGATGGCACCTTTTTAACATTTACGGCAAAGTGCTGTGACTTCTGCGCCCCTCCTGACCCCTCCCTGGCTTCCCAGACGGTCCCTGAGGAGCTGCAGAACGGGAGAGGCTTTGGGTACGTGGTGGCCTTCCGGCCGTCCGGCACAGCCATCTGGATGCTGACGGTGCTGGCCTCCGCCGACGCCTGCAGATACGTGTTCAGGAACGAGAGCGTGCGGCCCTTCTCGCCCTTCGAGGTGAAAGTGGGCGTCTACAACAACAAGGGAGAGGGCCCTTTCAGTCCCACCACCGTGGTGTATTCTGCAGAAGAAGGTAGGGCCCCCGCCGCCTGCGTAGGGGCTCGGTCTGCGATTCTGAGATGTCGCTTTTAGGACGCAGACTCAATTGAGCACTGTACCCGTCAGTTGAAGGCGCATTCTGATTTGAGAAAAATGCAGTGTAAAAAGTTGGGTTCATTAACCACCACCCATCTCTTAGAAAGACATCAGGTCCACTGGGGATATAAACACAAATGGCCAATTCCATTGCTGAGGACCAGAATTGCGAGTTCCATAGAAGATCTTTATTTTTTTTTTTGCATGTGATCATCACTTTCAAAAGAATTCTGTTCTGTTTTATCCCTTCAAGAGAATATCAAAATGTGATTTGCATTTCCTCTTGCCATTTTCATTTTTATAAATCCTATTGTCCTTCCGGGTTATTCTGCGTTCCTAAAGAAAGGAGGAAGCCATGAGGCAGCGTGACTCCTCTCAGAGCTGCCCACAGTGCGTCGTGCTCCGGGGCTGTCACACGTTCTCACCACCTCTGCGCTCATCCTGCCCTCAGAACGCCCCTCCCGTGGTCTCCATTACCACTGGAGTCCGTCTTCCTTGTTTCCAAAGTCATGTTCAGAATGACACCATGAACGTGGAGTCATTTGGAACAAGTGAAGATGCAATCAGTTCTTCCCCGAGAGAGAGAGAGAAGGCAGCCCGTTCCCCTCAGTAGGTCTCCGTGGCCCGCGCCCGCCTCTCTCCTCAAGTCGTGCTGCTTCCTGCACATCCCATGCTCCAGCCGGAGCCGAAGGCCGTGCCGCTCTCGGCACCTGCCTGAGCCCCTCACACCCGCTTCCAGGTCTCTGCATGTGCCCCTGTGAGTTCACACTCGACGTGAGCAGGCGAGGGCCGCCCTCACGTCCTTCACGTTCAGTGCTTCACCTCCCCCACTGTCAGAGCATCCCTGTCCTCTGACGCTCTTCCCCACCTATTATACATTTTGAATTTGAGTTTTAGGTCCTCGCCAAGGTGTGTTTCTTGAGGACCAGCCATTGCTTGTTCACCTTTGTGTCACCAGTGTCTAACCATGCATGACATGCAGACCTGTAGTAAATACTGGATGACTGAACATGCAAACAGAATCATACATTGTTATGGACAGACGAAACCTTAGAGGCCTCCTTGTCCGGCGTTTTCTGGAGTGTGATGTGCATTCCAGAGGGAGTCCACACCTTGATTATACATAGTACCAGATGTACTTTTCAAAATATTTAATAGTTAACACGGATTTGAATTGCATTAGAAAAAAACCCAGCTATCAAATCAAAACCAGGATTTCATGAATATGATTGCTCATGGCTAGGTTTTTCTTTAAGAAAGACCAGTGAACAGTAAATACCAATGTATAAGAATGGTAGACAGCTTTGTCAAAAATTTGGTAGAAGTTAACTGAAGTTTGGCAAACCGACTTGGTCCAGCCTCTTCTTTGCAGCTGAGGCTGCCGAGGTCCGGGAAGCATAAGAACTTGCCCACGATCACACAGGTAGCTATGTGGGACTGAACTGTCACCAGCGGTCCTGAATCTCAGTCAAGTCATGGGACTTGCTTCCTTTCTCATAATCGCAATCCAGTGACGAGGACTCTCTCCTCTAACAAATGCTCATTAAGAAGGATGTGTGTTAAAGGAATTGCTGGCTATGGAAACTTGGTGCTTAAACTTAAGTGGTCCTGGGTGCTTCCCTTCCACCTCCCCGTACATTTAGAATCCAGAGGCTTTGGGCAAGTGTCTTCACCACCATCTCCATCACCCCCTCTCCCCACCCAGCTGGCAGTCATTGCTCCTCTGTCAGTCGAGGGTTTGGATCGTAACCACTAAGGGCGACCCTCTAACCATGGATTCTTTGCATCTCATCATGCTGGTACCCAGAAGCTGGCCTGCTGCAGCCGATAGAGTAATACCTTTTTCCATACTCACACAGAACCCACCAAACCACCAGCCAGCATCTTTGCCAGAAGTCTTTCTGCAACAGACGTTGAAGTTTTCTGGGCCTCCCCCAAGGAGAAGAATAGAGGACGGATACAAGGCTATGAGGTCAGCAGGAGATCGGGGCTCGGGTCTGGAAGGGTACCTCCCCTTCCATGAGCCCTCCAGGACACACTGATGGGAAAAGACGAGGTCCCATTGAGAGTCACTTGTGTCAGAGGCCTGGCATCAAGCAGAGCCTCACTGCCCTCTTCTGTGGCGCTTTGTTTCAGAATTAATGCAGGTCTGGCCATTTATCAGATGGCTGGCGAGATGAGCTTGGATCTGATATGCCCAGGGTCACGTGGGCTCAAAACAAAGGTAGAGAGAAAGAGAGAAATAGCCAACAATTGCTGTGCCAATGTACCATCTCACTGTGGCCTAAGAACCCCAGGGGCCCTTGGTGCCGTGCACAGTTTCTCAGAGCACACAGAGGCCTGGGCTCTGCAGCCCTGCTTCTGTGTCATTGTAGAAAATTAACTCCATCATCAGCATCTATGTTAAAAACTGTATTACCTGCCAACGACGGAAATCTCCCCGATGGGTACGATGTCCAAGGCCTTCCTTTGTATTTTCTCAGGTTCAGTACTGGAGACATGATGACAAGGAAGAAAATGCTAGAAAAATCCGAACATTTGGAAATCAGACATCAACAAAAATCACCAACTTACAAGGCAGTGCACTGTATCATCTCTCTGTCAAGGCATACAACACTGCAGGGACAGGCCCCTCCAGTGCCACCGTCAACGTGACAACCAGAAAGCCACGTAAGAACGCTCTTGCTCAGAAACATGTTAGGGATTCATCAGACGTAGCCCAAGCTCATCCCCATTATCATTTGCATACTAATTGGTGTCATCATGTGGATTCAAATTTACCTTAGCATTTTAACGGGCCCTTTCTGAGTACCATGCAGAATTCATTGCTTTAAAAGACAGAAAGATAAATGTTTTTCTCCTCACTGGGAAGGGCTACCTCTTTTTGCTATAAATGTTAGGCGACCAACTGAATCTTTTTCTATTTGTGAGGCTGTATGTCGTCAGATTTTAGTGACCTTGAAGACACATATTAGTGCAATAGCCCATTAAATTGCCTCCACTCTCAAATTCTAGTAGAGAGATATTCCTCAGAATCCATTGAGACTTAATAATCTGTGACTTCGTATATCTTAATTTTTTTATAGCACCAAGCCAACCCCCCGGAAACATCATATGGAATTCATCGGACTCCAAAATTATCCTGAACTGGGATCAAGTGAAGGCCTTGGATAATGAGTCGGAAGTGAAAGGCTACAAAGTGGGTAATTTCTTTTTTGCAAAGGCGCACAGTCCTGCTGCTAGTGGGGACAGCCCCTTCCCATGAATCATAGGGACCGTGGTCTCACTGTGCCTGGCCACGCTGCCCAGCCTCTGTGGGACTCTCTGCCCCCCGGTGGTTTGGCCTGAGTTTGACCAGTGGACCTTGGCAGCTGGCCAGGATCGGGAGAATTATCTCCTATCAGGCAGAGTCAGAAATGGGTAGAGACCCTGAGGTCGTGTCTGCAAAAAAGTCATGAAGAACCAAGTTATTCACGTTCCTCCTATCAGCTTTGTTTTGCTCTTGTCTTGAGGGTGTTTTTATCAAATCAACAATAGGAACACCTCAGTATTACTAATGGTTAATCATTATTGTTCAAGCCCCTATAGTTAAGGAGATTTACATATAGAAAAAGAAGTAAGGATGTTTTTCAGAAAAGTCACTTGCCTGGTCCCATAAATATTAGCCTGACTTTAAAGAGCTAGAAAAGAAAAGGTATGGAGCTTGGGTGTCACCATTGAAAGGAGTGAAATATCACGTCAGTGTTTTCAGGGATCGAACTGCTGCCTATGAACCACCCTAAAACGAGGGGCTTACGTATTTTTCATGATTCAGTGATCGGGACTGGGACAGTAAGGCAGATTACACACACACCTGGCTTCTCGGTTGGAGGGTCATTGGCACAGCACCCTGTCACCCGGGGCCTCTCTGTGTGGACAGCTGGGGCTTCTGCACAGTCGGGGACCTCAGGGTGGTCAGATTTCCCCATGGTTGCTGGTATGGTTGAGGGCGGAGGCCAAAGTCCCTCCTAGAGGTAAAGGGTGTGACTGGCCGCAGTCAGACCAGCTCAGATTCCAAGGGAGAAGATTCAGAGGGAGAGGAAACGGGCTCTGCCTCCTATGTGAGGAGCCCCGGTGTGTGCTGGGAGGACGGACGTGATGTGGCCCCGTACAGACCACAGTGTGCACGGAGAAGCCTGGGACCCGGAGGCTGGCCCCCCAAAACATGTGACCAGTGAGGGAAGGAACTGAGGCTGTTTAGCTGAAGAACAGAAGACAGTCAGACGTATGATAACCTCTTCAGATATCGGAAGGGCTGTTACGAGCATGACTAGAACCCTCCCCCCAGCTTCCCGGGTACAGCTGTGGTCAGTGAGCGAAAGCAGCATTTTCACCCAGTTTCACTTTCGAGGAGTCCGAGCTCTTCCAAAATGGCCATAGTCCCAAGAGTCAAGGAGGGTTCTTTGTTACTGGACACGATCAAGTATTAGCTGGATTACTGCTGCCCAGTGAGATGTTATAAAGAGAAATATAGTGTGGACAATTAAGTTATATGGCGCTTTGAATTCTTCCCAACCCTGGAATGTGATGCGGAAATGATTAACATGAGGCTTGTGAGAAACCACGGTCATTGGGCTATGCTGACCATGCCCTTGACTGCCAGTGGTTCTGTATTAATCATTCAAAAGAGAAAAAAAATTGCAAGTTCTCTTTAGTGAACCTTCCCATAGTCTTCACTGTAAAAGAAAAATTGTAAAAAACCAAATCTGTGATTTAGAAATGTTTCCACCTAGAAGAACTTGGGAGTCAAAATTGTCAGAAGTCCTGGGAAATGGTCTTGCATCTGCCACAGAATAAGTGGCCAGTGGATGAATTGCGAAACCCTGCCCAGCGGGGAGCGTCATGGACGCAGAGGACCGGGGGAGCCATGGCCATGGGGGTGCAGGTTGCTGTCTGATGTGCCGCCCGCATCTCACGTCCTGCCTGCGTCGCTCTGTGAAAAAGTCCACACAGGCCCACAGACACGCTTGCGTTTCAAGAGACGGCAGAGAAGTGGATTCTCATTTCAAACAACTTTCAATTTTAAAATATTGGCCATTCATCCGATCTTGTTTTGTTTGTGTTTTAAAAGACTTTTGAGACAATGCAGTGCGGACCACACAAAGCTGGTCTGCAGGCTGAATTCCACTCACGAGCGGCTGACCTGGGATGATCTGCACAGAGACGTTGGGACTAGTGGGCAGGCCGTGCTGCCAGGCCCTGGTTAGAGATCGTGGGGCGCTGGAGAACCGTCGGTAAAGCCAGAGCTGGAGCTGGGGTTGGCTTAGTAGGTGGTAGAGCCTTGGGCGCCGTGATCGGAGCGCCTCCCCAAAGCCCCTTGCAGGGGCTGCTCTCCCTGCATCCACTGGTACAGTGACCACACGGTGCCGAAGCGGACAGCCCCCGGGACCCAATCTGCAGCTCTCTCTCTGGGGACTTTAAAATCCTTCTGGAAGGTTCCACGGTGTGCGGAATGAGAGCTAGGAGACGCGCTTTGGGGCCCTCTGTTGGCTAGGTCGCGTAGGTTCATCAGCCTCTTGGGCCTCATTTTCTCTGGAGGAGAAGCTGCCTAGTAGCTTCATTTCCACCTGAGCCTTTGCGTCCCTGCTCCAGCCCTCTGGGACCACCATCCTCACGTCCACATCGTCAACCAATCACCCCCCTCTCAGGGCTGAGTGCGGACGCCTTCCCTAACGGCCAGAGCACTCACTGTTTGCTAGTGTTAGACGTACTTTGCTTTTATCATCTTCGGGATTGTAACTGGCTGATGACTTGCTGTAAATCCCGACTGTGACCCTCAAGAGAGCAACAGTGACTGACTCGTCACCGTGACATCTGCAGCCACGGGTACCTTCTGGTTGTGTTAGAAGGGAGGGCTCAGTTCCCGAACCCCCAAACCATCAGCCGCTTCGTGTGAATAATGTGAAAGCATCTATCTGACCAGCTTTAACCAGGACAAGAGAGACACGGGGTTGCGTAGGCTGGAAGATGACAGACGGAAGGGTGGACTCAGTGATAAGGGAAAGATGGCCAGCGTGAACTCAGGTCCGGCCCAGCTGACCCTGCCTGGCCCTCAGGCACCACATGACAGGAATACAGATGTGATCTGGGCTGAATTGATTGAACCAAACGGGGGGAGGGAGTGAAAAAGCTAAGAGAGAAATGTTCCCTCCCGGCGTCTAGTCTCACACATTAGGACAGAGAGAGAAAAACCATCCAATGCAGACAGCTTGGGAGTCCCTGAGAGGAAGCACGACGTCCAGAGTGAACCGTCACCTAGATCTTAGGCTCAGATTCAAGCTGGTGCTGAAATAAACCCAACAGGCAGGGAGCTACCTCCAGGATTTCAGAGAGCCAAGCAATGTGTTGGCTGCGCTGGGAACCCCAGAGGCCATCCTGTCAAAGCCCTTCATTTCAGAGGCAAAGCCGAGGCCCGTGAGTGAGGGGGCCTGAGAGTCTCCCTGTTTCCCAGGGGCCGGGGTCTGCAGGCAAGCGGGACTTTGCCTCAGCGACCTGGGGATAAAGGTTACAGGCACTTTTACAAGGAAAAGTGGAGAACGAGTATTATTTTAGTCGCCACTTCTTTGTCCTCCTGCCCTGTCTCAGGAAGTCTTGTGTGAGGCTGTCTCAGTAGCACATTCCCAAGAAGGCCCTTCGTATAATTCCGTGACTCAGCAGACACTTCTGCAGATGTTACGACATTCACGTCAGCGGCGCAGCGCCGGGCAGGGTGTGATGGAGGAAAGCAGGTCAAGACAGACGGGGGGCAGCATCACCTGCAGCGAAGCCCTGCTGGGCTTGGTTAGGACAGGGGCAGCTACATTTATTTCTATAAAACTAGGAAAGAAAACGCTGGAGTGAATTACAGCCTGAGAGCATGGCCCCTCCCCAGATCAGACCTGTTCAAGCCAGGGGTTTACGTATTTTTTCCAGATAGAGTTTTTTGTGTTGGTTCGTTGTATCTTGTGGATCTAAACTACATCTGTGAAAGATATGGGGGCCCCTCCGAGTTGGGGATTTGCATCTAAGGAAGCATCAGTGATGGATGGGCATCAAGTGTGTGAAAAGCCGCACAAGCCACATGCTGACAGCAAAGGAACACGAGAGTTAGTTAGACTGGGAGGTAGGAAAGGGCGCTCTCTGAGTCGTCTTGGTTTCCCGGCTCAATCCCTTCCTCCTCTTTGGGGCTGAGGCTGCAGCAGCCACGCTCCCTATACCTCCCCGTTTAGCCCCATTTAGATCCCAAGGAACCTCGCCATAACTGGCTGTTGAACTGCTACGTAGAGTGTAAATGTTTGGGGAGACATAATTTTTTAAAAATTACGTGTGTGTGTGTGTGTGTGTGTGTGTGTGTGTGTGTGTGAACGAACTTTTGCTTTTTCACCTAAATTGTCTACATTTGTGGGGTTTCTGCCTGGGTAGACAGCCTCACAAAAAAGTTGACTTTGGAAGCCTTAAGGCGCAGAACACGCTGTCAGCACAAACCTTCAAGCTGCTTCCTGACACTGGAGCTAAAGAGCACATCTGGGTTCATTATTACAGACTCAACTGCCTGCAGAGCCAGGCAGGTTCATAAATGGGTTCTGTTGACTCGTCCTTTCCACAAGTGCTGTGAATATCTGTGCCAAGCGCTGTTCCAGTTCATTTTAACTTTCTCAGAACACATGAAGGGGGTGTGGTTATCAGCCCCAAGTTTATAAATGCAGAACCCACAGCACAGAGTTCATTCACTTGCCAACTTCCCATGGCTGGTATATGCTTTTCCCAGCCTTACTGAGACAATTGGCATAGAACAGTGTGCAGGTTCAGGTGTGCAGCTGTGGATCTGATACATTTATATATCACAGTGTGATTGCCACCATAGTGTCAGCTGACACCTCCCTCACATCACATAGTTACCGTTTCTTTTTTGTGCTGAGCACAGTTAAGATCTACTCTCTTAGCAATGTTCCAGGATACGATACCGTATTATTAGCGCAGCTAGGAGACAGAAGACAGACCTGGACCTGAACTCAGGCAGTGTGGGTCCAGGGCCCTGCCTTTCAGCCCGTCAGCTATTCTGCACACCAGCAGTAAGCAAAGACACCAGGTGGTAATAAAGCGCCACCAAGAGAAATAACAGATGGGGAGGTGGGGAATACAGAGCCATGGGAAAGACAGAGAGGCTTACTGTGTCAGACAGAGGTCGGGAGAGCCTCTTTCAAGGGGCGACAGTTCAGCTGGGACATAAACAGCGGAGGGGAGGAAGATGGGCATCTCTCGGAACCAGTGTCGCAGACACAGTGAGCAGGGTGTGCAAAGGCCCTGAGGCGGGCACATGCCCATGTGGCGTAGGAGGAAGTCCTGGAGACTGCGGTAAACTTCAACGGTTGTGATTATCCAGAATAGGCAGTGGCTTTTCAGCTCCAGCCAGTTGTTGCCAGACAGGACTATAGATGCGTGTGGCCATAGCTTTCATTTATTCAGTAGAAGCCAAAATGTTTTCATATATCATTTCTTGTTTTTAAATGTTGATATCTAACTTAACAACAACAAAAAAGTAAAACTAAAAGAGCCAGTTAACATGTACGGGCCACCAGTTTTCTACTGTTGAACCTCCTGGGTTTTCATTCATGAAGACAGAGACCAGAGGGGGGCCATTTGCCACTTAGCTGGTGGCCACACCGGCCTCAGGTGAGCGTATGAGCCGTGGACCCAGAACGCCTGGGTTTGAATGCTGGGTCCACCACTTACTGGCCACGGGACCGTGGGCAAAGTCTTAGGTTCCCCATCTTTGAAATGAAAATAATAACAGTGCCATCTCAAGAGGTAATCCATGTTAGTTAGCATTTAGGACTTACAGTGTTCAGACACGTGGTAAGCGTTCAGCAAAGTCAGATGATGCTCTTAGCATTCCTCCCTGAGCCCCCTCGCTCTCCGTCTCCCACCCTGGATCATAATAAACGAAGCACGGTCCTCAAGTCCATCAGCTGAACCCAGCGTTCTGGGAGAATGAAGGTTCTACGGGCTTGTGTAGGCTCTGCTGCAGCCCTTAATATTACAGGGCTGATCAGCAGTGCTGGTAGAGGGCCGTTTGTTGCTGGAAGTGTTTCTTTTGCATTTGGATTTGAAGCTGGTTGTCTGAGCTCTGGCGAGGACCCGAGGTAAATCACAGAAGCAATTTACTCCTGGAAGCCAGCCGTGCCCTGATATCCTGTCAGCCAGCCCGTGTTCCCGAGGGTAGGGACAATCCCTGGCAGCCCGGAGGGCGCCTGAGGATGTTTGGCCCCAGGCTGTTGGGGGGGGGATGCTGAGTTTGATACACGTGAGGGTGGGGGTGCTTATGAATCTTCTCACCATAAGGAGATTGTGTCTTCCACCTTGTATCAGAGGGACATAAATTAAGGTGATGGAACGCCAGGGGGCAGATGGGACCTACACCGTTTTGAAGGCATTTTATGAGTGTCGCTCGTGTTTGGTTTCTCTTGCAATGGAAGAGTGACCTTATGTTTGTACCCTCAGCAGATCCGAATTTATAGTGCGTCTTCCGGAAGGATGAGCTAATGTTGTGTTTCTCAAAGTGTACTCCCCCGGACCAGTGGCAATGCCATTATCTGGGGATGTGTTAGAAACGCAGTTTCTCAAATCCCACCCCAGACCTACTGAATCAGAAACTCGGGCGTGGGTTCATGGCAATATAACTCACCGTGCCTGCCCTGGGCAACCAGCACTGCCAAGGGCGTTTCCATCTCACCCCCTCTGATCCTTCCTAGTTGCTATTTTTTGCACAGTGCCTTTGAGCCAGGCCCTTCACAATAGTCAATCCTCGTGCAATCCTGGAAACACCCCCAGAAAGGTGGTACTATTGTCCCCATTTCACAGACGAGGCAAATGAGCTCAGAGAGTTAAAGTAAGTGGACCAAGTCTATTCTGATGCCAAGGCCCCTCGTGTGCAAGCGAGCTCCATACATCGGCAAAGAGGACATCGTTCTTCTGGGTACGTCACGGAGCCTTCCAGGGCTTGTGGGAGGCCACACAGCACGTTGGCGGCCCCACGCCACCCCCCGCCACCATCACCCCTTAAATTCTTTCCTCACAATGAAATGGGAGCTGCGGGCATGTTCCTGCCAATGAGCCTTCCAGATGCGCGCAGGCGGCCTGGCAGCCTCCGCGTCCCTGCATTTCACTGGCGCCCAGAGGGGGAAACAAATGAACGGTCCATCTTTGGGGCCTTTGTGAGGACAGCAGGTGACACCTGTTCTTCCTGTATTGGCAGGTCTTGTACAGATGGAACAGACAAAGCAGCACATCCATCATCGAAACAAATAAAACATCGGTGGAGCTTTCTCTGCCTCTGGATGAAGATTACATAATAGAAATCAAGCCATTCAGTGATGGGGGAGATGGCAGCACCAGTGAACAAATTCGAATCCCAAAGATATCAAGTAAGAACGCTGTTTTTCTCCCTTCTCCCTGCCTGCCTCCCTGCTAAGCCCTCGCAGTGAGTCAGGGCGTCAACGGATGCAAGCCCGCAAAGAACGATGTATAATAAAAGTGGACACCACTGTCCCCCTTCCTCAGACCACTGGTGTCATCTGATTACAGGCAGTTTCTTGCAAAAGACAGTGTGACCAGTTTTGCCTGATGTAATCTGTTGCCAATCAGAGAATCAGATAAAAACAGCCCCAGATCGGCCTCACAGGTTTCTTCACGTGGGTCCTGGTGGTAGCATCTACAATAACCCCAAAAGGAGAGCTTAGAAGGTTAGAAGCAGAGGGTTGTAAAAAGCTGGCGCAGTTTGTCTGTAGTGACACAGTGTGTAATTCAGTGCCCTTGGCAGAAAATACCGGGGGTGCGAAAAACATGTACACAAGTGGACACTTTGGTCCGCGTTGCTCAAGCAGTAGTTCGCCGTCATCAGAAGTGTCTGGACGCTGATGGGAACCACTTTGAGCACCTCTTGTAATTGCAGAAGTCACACGTGACTTGTAGTCATCTTTTATGATCGGTATATGTTGAGTATTACAATTTAATACAGTTTTCCTTTCTGTGTACATTTGTTTGTCACCCTCTGTATTTGAACTTGACACTATTAACTCTGAATGTATTCACGTAACATATGAACATAAGTGCACATGGCCACATGTAGTCAAGATTATCTTCGTTTACAAAGATTGTTGAAGAGTGTGTGAGAATGGTCTTTTTGAACAAATACATTCATTCCTGTTTTTCAAATATTATGTTTGCAAATATCTCAGCAGCATATTTTTTCTTGTGGTAAAAAAAAAACAAAAACAGGATAGGCAAATTCATAGAGACAGAAACCAGATCAGTGGGTGGCAGTGACTGGCCGCTGGTGTGACCATGGTTTAATGGGTATTGGGTTCCCATCCGGGGTGATGAAAAGTCGTGGCACTTGGTGCTGTGTGCCCAACACTGGCGTGTGCTTCATGCCACTGAATTGCACACTTTATAATCATTAAAATGGTAACTTTCATGTTATGTGCATATTATCACACGTTTTTTAAAAATTGTAGTCAGATATCCAAGTGTAGTTTGTCCTTGGCCTTTGGGTTTAACAAGAGGTTCGTGAAGGCTGGAGGTAGAAATTTTCAGGCCATCAGTGGAGAGATGATATTTTAAACCCTGGGCATAATCCTCACCCCAGCGTCCTGAGTTTCACCCTGTCTGTTGAGCATCCACCATATTATTTGTCAGATGAGGAAAGAGCCCTGTGTGTCTTGCGGATGCCGAAGTGTAGTACAGCGTCCACAAAGCGATTTTAATTGCCTCTGTGAAGTTCAGATGCCGCCAATCAGAAGAGAGCGTGTTCCCTGGTCATTGCACGCTTCTATCGTCTTTGCTTTGGCTGGGATTGGATTAGAGAGCAGAACTCGGGGTGGGAATTCAGGCTCCGCACTGCTGTGCCCCGAACTCAGGAGTGATCTGTCAGTTTCCAGATGGACTTTGTATTTACAGCACCTCATCTGCGTACATACACACTAAGGGCGTTTTTGGCTTTTACAAACCTGGGCTGACTTGGATCCTCTACGCCTCACTCAACAAAGGCTCTAACTTCTGTTGAAAGGGACAGATTTATGGTGAGATGTGGAAGCAACCTCCAGGCCACAAACACACAAGACTGGGGTTTGTTCGGGGGTTAGTTTATCTTGTTTTGTTAAACTCTGACTTCATACGTTCTTATCATTGCGAGGATTGTTTTGTTGTTAAGCTGACTGATGATCCTTGGCTTAATTCATTACAAAAACATTTTAAGCAATTATACTGGTGTAGTTATTAGATGGTAAGGGTGGAACTGTGAGGGGAACATGACCTCTCCCTCCAGAGACTTTCTGTTTTTTTTGCTCAAAGATCTTGCATCCTTGAAGGTTGCAATGACAGTTGCCAACCTCTGTACTATGGAAAATACAAGACCTGTAAGGAAAAGTTTAAGAAGGATTGAGGTGGTTTCCCCGCCCCCCCCCCTTTGGAAAAAGGTATATATTTAGACAGACATGGGTTTGCGTCCCTATTCAGCTAATTATGAATCTTGATCTGAAGAAGCTGTCTTCCTTCTCTGGCCCGTGTCCTCATCTGTTAAACGGTCTCATAACAACACCCGATGCTCATCAGGTCCTTGTGAGAAGTAAGTGTCGTATTGCCCTGCACTCAGCACAAAGGGCAAGTTCAACAGGGAGTAGCTAGCTTTATTTTGTCGCATCATGAATATATCCTCACAGTTCCCAGTAATGTCTGTAGTGACATTGAAGCTTCTTCTGTTAGATGTGGGCAGCCTCGTTTTCCACATGCTTACATGGGGGTGCAGAAAGGTCCCATAACCGGCTCCCAGGTCCCTAGCTGGGTCCTCAGAGGCCTGATGTAGAAACGTCACTAGGAAATGGTCACGTACGTGGAAGGTAGCCGGTTGGGTTGCTCCCCACAGCCCTGTGGCCGCGCTTCCCCCGGTGGCCAGCGCGGGGCGACGCTGAGTGATGGTGTTCTCTCTTTGCAGACGCCTATGCAAGAGGCGCGGGTCCTTCCACGTCCAACGCCTGCACGCTGTCCGCCATCAGCACCATCGTGATCTCCCTCACAGCCAGGTCCAGCTTATGACGAAAGTCTACAGGACTTGCTGTTTATAATCTAAGCAACATTTAGCTAGTTGTTTTGGAGACACCCAGTACTAAGTAATGTTGTTGTTCAAGTACATCTTATTACTGGAAAAACAAAATGTGTTTTGCTTCTTTAGGAATGGCGTTATACAGTACTTCCTCAAAGCAAATCTAGCTTTGTCTGAAGTTTCTTTGGAAACTCTGCAATGCACTGAAGACATCTGTAATACGATGTTACCAAAGGAGTTTACATAATGTCCTTATATGCATATTTTTATTATATATTTAGTGTTTTATAGAATTTTTTAAAGTTAACATGAAATGTAGATATCAATTTTTTTTCCTCTGCTGTAAAGTGCAACGGGCAGCACAACCATACAATTATTATTTGACAGTAGTTCCTTTCGAGACCGAGTTTGAAACTCGTCTTGGTAAATAAGTCGTGAATTTCTTATACAGTTTTACAAGGATGTAGTTGCAGGACAAGAGCTGGTTTGTAACTCCAGGCCGCCCTGTGACAGTGACTCTTGGGATGGTTAATGTGTTGACTAAAATCCTTTGATTTTCTGCCCGGTGGTGAATTTCATTGTTCAACACAACTTGAGATGGTTTCAGGAATGGCCGCAATTTCGAAACCTAAGCTAACTGTCCAACAGGTACATGTGCAATATTTCACCCTGCACTTAGCACGGTACGTACGGTAAGACTTCCGTGTCTCTGCTCAGTCAGCATCGTCTTTGTAGTAGCATTCTTAGACATTAAATTTGAAGTTACATATCTATCCTGTAGTAACAGAGACCAAAAGTTAACTCGAGTCAACCAAGTCTTTCAAAGGATACAAGATAATTTTACTATCTCTAACTGTATCTGTTTTGAATGTACATTTTTTTAAAACAAAGTAATTCTCTGTTCATGGAGTCACAGTTTCTTTACAGAATTTCTTATCTATAATATGTGCTTCTCTTTAATAATAGAGCCCTTCTTTTGAATCAAAATCGTGTATGGAGCTTGGCAGGTTTCTCATATTTCGGCAAAAAGCTGCCTCAGAGAATTTTTTCCATGACTCTATGAAAGATCTTTAGTACAACTGTATGGTTTCTCAATGAATCTCCTGTTTTGCAGTCAGTAGCTTAGTTGCTTTATAAGCTTTACCTTCTAAGTCTTAAAATCACACATTGGAAAATGACAATATTGAAAAAAACCGTATTCTTATGAAAGAACTATTTATTATAATGGGGGAGGTTTTGTAAGCTGACACTAGTGGAACAGTGCATATAAAAGACAATTAAATTTTCTATAAAAATTTTCACATGTAAACATGCTACCACATTTTCTTCTTTCTCAGAAAGCTCAAATTTGCCTGCAGTTTGTCATTTTTCCCCACAGATAATATAAGTTAACTTTTCAACCTTCTAGCTATATTTATCCAATAAAGTCATAATCAGGATTCCACGTGTGAAAAAACTAGGGTGGTAACCAGAAAAAAAAAATATTGTCAGTATTTCAAGCTGTGTTTCCTTTCTTAATTTGATATGGTCACTTCTATGTTAAAATAAAACAAAATTTAAAATCATATACACATACAAAAAAACAACAACAAAATAATAAAATGAATGAAAAAAAATGACACCCCAGAGAGTTCCCAACCCCGGTGTAAATGATATTTACCAGTGATCTAGCATATGTAATCTTTTTTTAAAGGTATTGTTAATAAATGTTCTGTCATTTGTAAAGATCCTTGTCTTTTGGGAGCATTTTTCCCGCCTGCCTGTCAGGGAACTTGTTAGCTCACCCTTGTGCTAGTTATAATTTGAGATCATACAGGGACTCAGACGTCTCTGGCCAGGACCCAAAGCTAGATGACCCCGAGCGAGTCCTTTGGAAGTGACAACCTTGAAGACACCATTTCAGATCCTCTTTGGAAGTAGACAGGGTCAAAATGCACAAAGAAGTGTCCCGAAGATCAAACTTGCCTGCTTCCTCTGGCTGAGCTAAGAGGGGTGCATCTACTCTAAAGCGATCTGTTGTTTTTAGCTCTTGCCAGCTCCGTTGCTGAAAGGATAAAGTGTAAAGTGGAGCATTTAAGGCCCCTTTAAGTCTAATGACCAATGAACCTTGGGCCCAGCCACACTGAGCGCCCCCTGGCCCCTCAACCCGGCTTGCTTGTGGTCTCACCTCTGTGCCTTTCGGTCCTACAGCTGCCCCTTCCTGCAATAACCCTCCCACTCTCCTTTCTCACCAAATCCCAACTGTCCCAGGGGAGTTCCAGCCCCAGCACGTCCGTGAAGCCTCCCCACCGTCAGCCCTTTGTGATGTCCTTCCTCCGACTTAGCTGCAAGCCCCGCCAGCAGCACTCACATAGTCACTCGTCAGGTACCACTTGCCCTTCTCTCTTTTACTGTTACTGTGCATTCTCGCTGAGCGCCTGTATTGTTACTTGATTGTCCTTGTCTGTATGCCTTGTCTTCCCAACTAGATTGTAAGCTCCTTGGGGCAGGGACGTTGGTCTGACCTTCCATGTATTCTCCATAGTGCCGAGCACAGTGCCTTGCAATAAATACTCGTTGACGAATTGATTGAAGGGTCCTTTGAAGTAGCATTTTGCCTCAGTTGCCCGACTGTGTGATACAGCAAGCCCATCAAGGAAGACCGTCCCGACTTCTGGCAGTTGGAACAGTCCTTTAACCTCTCAGCCCCGTCATCTGATACTCAGGGCCCTGGGTCAGCTGAGTATTGCTGAGCTGAAGATATTGTAGCAAGTGCCTCCGAGGCACCGTCACCCAACCAGTCTGCTCTGTCGGCTTCCGTGGTGGCTGCAGAATAAACAGCTCTGCCTAACTTGAGCAGACACAAAGGATAGATCGCTGAGCCGCGGGGACGCTGAGTCACCAAGCCTGGGTGAGAATAAGAACCAAACCACTCTGAGGGGCCAGACTGCAGGAACCTGGAAAAGTCTTTTCGGGGTGCTGCTGTGGGGGCAAATCCGCTCTTTTGCCAATTTTGAGGCCACTCTGTTCAATATCCAAATTTCTAGAAGAGATGGATCAGTCCAATTTGTGTCACACAGCCAGGGTACCTTGATCACACCAAGCCTACATGCACAGGGGAGGGGTAGTTTGTTCAAGGACAATTATTCCCATCCAGAAGATGGGATAATGGGCACTGGGAAGGTCACAGCAGCACACTTTCTATGCCTAGCCATCCAAAGGGACCTCCCAGGCCCTCACCCCAGTCAAAACGCTCCAGTGGAATGTGTCATTACTTGGGATTGTTGCCAGTGACTGAACATAGAGCACTAGGCAAGGGCCTCTTTTCTTTGCTCATTTAACCTTTTCAAAAGTGCTCACTTTTGCCCTCTTGTTTTGTATGTAACCCATCTGTGATTTCACTGTCTAAAAGGAAATTTTGTTTTGCCAGATAATTGGATTCTCAGTGTTTCCGAGTCTTTACAGAACCCACACCCCCAATGTACAAAACAGCATCTTCCCCTGGGCCACAAGACATGGATGGTACGTTCATTTCCAGGTGAGCTCAGAATTCTTCCCGCCAGGAAGGTGGGAGCTGCCCTATGTTTTTATCTTAAGATAGAATAATCACGTTATTCCTACCATCCCACTTTTGGCTATTTATACCCGGGAAGTAACGTTCAATCCTGAATAACCTTTTCCTGTCTGTCCCACCATGCTTACCTGACCACAAATATGCTCAAAGAATGTTGACTTATAAAAAGTACACAAATAGTACGTGATTAGCTACTGAAATGTCACGTCATTTTTTAAAGTAATCTAATGTAATGTGACCAATCACCAGGCGATTTTTGTGCGCTGCATTGTATTACTGATGCCACAGTGCTCTTCCAGTTAACACAGATAATTAAGAACAGACCAGATGTTCCTGTTCTTACAATTAGAATAATTATCTGGTCAACCTTGTGATTTGAGGAGAAAGGCTATTAAAAATCAAAGCTTTATCGTCAATCTCTGGGCGTGCCCAAAATTACACCATCCCCAAATAATAGACGCTGGGGCTACAAGTATGGATTTGGACATCTGCCTGGGGTGCGTTCTGACAATTGCCACTTATTCCATAGGAAAAAGTTTGTGAAGTCCTAATGCACAGCTATCCAAATATTATTAGCAAGTATTTTATAAATCAGTTATTGTTCTTTTTCTCAAGTGACTTGAGACAGCCACCAAGACCAGGCCTGCATGGAATACGGACACGTCCCATAACCGAGATGAGGTGAACTCAACAGACCCATCCAGTATCACCTTTCACTTAAATAGTTTCATTTCTGAATATAAACATTAATATTCGATCATTTTCATAATGAAATAAATAAAATATTTAATAATAACAAAAGAAGTTAGGCAGGGGTTTTCCACAAGTCTTTGCTCGCTTTCCTCATCTGGCACTGACCTCTCAGCTCTCTGACCTCCAGGCCGTGTCACCTCTCCTTACCTGGTATTTAAATCGCTAATGTTCATGGCTTCTCCCTCCCAGCAGACAGAGAGCATCTTAGGGGTAGAGTACGGGTGTGATCCTGACTGCAGTCCCCAAGCGCCAGGTCCCTATCCCCCCATCTCTAACCCTAACGAAGCAAGAGAGAGGGAGGCACCTGTCACCATTTTGTGTGACTTCCCTGGACCCCTGCCCGGGTCGCTGTATGCCCGTCAGGCTGCCCATGATTGCATAAGGCCTCTTCCCCTCGTGCTAAATGGGCCATGCGATCAGATGTCCCAAACTCAGGTGTAAACCACAGGACCCAAGAGAGCTCACAAGTTCAAATCGGCCTCTGTTCTCAGTCACTGACAGTTACGGCCCATTGTGAAATAGCAGAGCTTAACGATATAGACCACACTGAGAGAAAGTGGTTTTGTTTTTGTTTTGTTTTGTTTTGTTTTTAAAAAGGTCAACTTCATGATAGATCCGAATGTCTGTAAACTTGAGGCTGGAGTTATTCAAATGCAATAATCCCAATCTCTGTAAATTGTTCTTTTGTGCCATAGTCTTACCAATTGTTATGATCAGCACAAACTATACCAGGAAATATGCATGTTTTAGGATTTAACTAACTAGGAGTCACAGCTGCAGTTTAGTGTTACAGACTTCAAAGTGCCTTCACACTGAGAAGCAGGAAATGCAGGCTTCATGCCTTTGTCATTTAAGACATGGAGGCAAAGAGGCTCTACAAGCCCAAAGAGTCAGGGCGAATTTAGAACTCTTAATTCAGTGCAGGTCACACCTAGAAATAAGTATCACCTGAGAGAAAGGGCCAGCTGGAGTAAGGAGCCGGCCTCTTCGTTAACGCCAGAGCGGCCAGGACACTGCGCTGGCCCGAGGACGTGGTCAGGGGCCGGAGCAGCTCTGAATGGTGACCCGGCCCAGGGACGGCCGTTCAGAGAAGCAGGTGAGTTTCAGCCATTCATCCAGGGACTCCTGGCTACCCTGTGTGTCCCAGGTGCTGTCCTAGGCCCAGGGGAGTGCTGTGGAATTAGGAAGAGAGACCCCACGAGGCCCATAGGGTGAAGGAGGGGGAGACCCTCGGAGGCTGGTGTGAAATCACCTAGTTTGGAGGCAGACGGAGCGCAGGGAAACCGAGGGACCAGAGCAGTATTTGGTCACAGTACAGAGAAATGCAATGACAATTGCTGACACTGATTATGCTTCTAGTATGTGCCAGTCTCTGTGCACATCAACCTGGTGGTTTCTGTCTCATTCATATTTCAGATGTGGGGAACTGAGCTGAGCAGATCAGAGGTTTTCCCAGGTCACACAGCTCGCCAGGGAGGCCAGGAATTCGGTGCGGGCAGCTTGCGACTCCAGGCCCCACCCCAAAACACTAGATACCTGTGTCGTCAGGTAGGTAGGTAGGTAGATACATAGCTACATGCACACATACATACATACGTACATACCAGGGGTGCCAACAAAATGTACACAATTGGACACTTTGGTCAGCGTTGCCCAAGCAGTAGCTCGCTGTCATCAGAAGTGTCTGGACGCTGATGGGAACCACTTTCAGCACCTCTTGTCATTGCAGAAGTCAAATGTGACTTGTATTCATCTTTCGTTATCGGTGTATATTGAGTATGACAATTAATACAGTTTTTCCCTTTCTTAAAATGTGTATACATTTTTTTGGCACCCTCTGTATACACATGCATGCACACGCACGTACATACATGTTGGTTCCCAGCAGAAAGAGAATAAGGCAGAGAGCCTCCCAGGAAGCTGGACGCAGGTTGCTGAGAAGCGGCCGGGGACATGGGCCAGCCTCTGGGGTAGGGTTCCTCCGGAGAGAGCACACAGCTCAGCGGCAGTGATGGCTCTGCTCCAAAGTGGCCCACCTTCCCTTTCTTTCCTGCAAATGGTGTTGCCTGTTGGTTGTGCTTGACGGCAAGTGTCTCAGAGCTGTTTTTCAAACTTGGGCTACCCTGTGAGATAAAAATATGGGAGGCCCAGTTAACTTGGATTTCAGATAAAAATTAATGCTTTTTTAGTGTATGTCCCACGCAACGTGTGTCTGAAATTCAAATGTAACGGGGCCACCTGACCCCTTCACTGGCTGAGCCTGGCAGTCTCACCGAGGTCATGCATTTCTAATGCTGAGCTCCCGGGCACTGCTGATGTATCCTCTCCGAAGGCTGACGGCTCTGAGCGTGCGGCACGAGTTTGCTGTCCGAGATCTGGGTGGTTTGCCGAACTCTCCTCCCCCCTTGCCGTGGGTGATGT